AATGTGCACTAACTCCTGTATGTTCTTATGCCATCTCCAGGAACAGATCAGCCAGTGCTGGAACATGCTGAAAGAGGGTCACCCTTGGTTATTACTTACCCACAACACACTCAGGAGCATCATCAGCAAGAGAGTACGACACTGAAATTCCTGAATTTATTCTGCAGAAGGCTACACTGAGAAGTCCTGGCTGCTAGAAGTTTGACCAGAGCCAGAATCCCCATGATCCCTAAGCCCACTTTGCAGGAAGACTTCTGGGAATAGCTTCTGACTCCAAGTCTCTTCCCAACACCAAGGGCAACATACCCACTAAACTCAGCAGAGCAATATCAGACCTCAAGAAACAAAGCAGTGATGAGCTTTCCTACCTTGTCTGTCTCATCCACACACACATCCTCCAGGACCTCCATGATGAACTCTATGACCTGGACGTGTCCCCTCTGGGCAGCACAGTGGAGTAAGTTCCTGCCATTCTGGAGGGGAGATAAAGGACAAGTCCAACTCTATGGGACAGTCTCTTTTGACAACCTGCTCCTTTTAGCAAAGACCCATTCCACGCCTCCCTGCACCTCTAGGGCTACACTTCCTTGTGCTGCAGACACCAAGTTATGACTGGAGTATTAATGCTGTTTGTCCCAACCAAGGTCTGTCTTAGAATACACAGACTGCTGACCCACTAAACCCATTTCCCACTTCTATAACACCTTCCACATAAGCATTGCACAAACATGGGCTGAGGATGCTGTGTGCATCTCTATAGCTACAATTATTGGATTACAGCTGTTTTAGGAATAAGGCAGAGTGCAGATGGCCATCCCCAGAGTAGGTGCTGTCATACAGGACTACCTAACCACAGGTAAGTCTCTCTCCGTCCCCCAGCACCATCTAGAGCTGTGTGATGGGCCCACACAGGGAGACTCTCACCCTGTTGACATGGTTAGTCTTGGCCCCAGCGTTGATGAGGATCTGCAGGACACGGAGGTGGCCAAACCAGGCAGACAGGAGAAGAGCATTCATTCCAAACTGGGCAGAAGAGAGATACTTACAGTTAAACTGCAGCCACCACCATCCCCACCATGGAGGAAAGCTGTCCCCTTAGCTTCATGCAGTTTCCCAAATCTATTTGTTTCTCACTGTTATTTTTTCTAGCCTCACTTTCTCCTGTTATTACTATTCCTGCCACAGATATTCACAGCAGCTGAGCAGAGAGCTGCCTCCAGACTGCCACTTCCTAGTTAATGGTGTGTATTTGGCTGGTCGTTATGGGGGAGAGAGAATTTGCTGGCTGTCCCTGTCATCCTACAAGCCCCAACAACATGACCAGAAGAAGCCAAGCATCCCCATGCTCTACAGAAAACCTCACAGATTCCACCAGCCTACTCCCAGTCACTGTATGTGCAAGGAAAAGGCCAAAAGACAGAGCACAGACACCTCTGAAAACAAGTCTCACTCCAGCCCCTTGCTCAGCAGGTGCCATGTGCCACCCTGTGCCACCCACCCAGGGCTAAGGTGAAGTCTGTCACTGCTGGCCCAGCACCCAGTCCCTGGCACTCCCCCAACACCGAACACATTTGCAGGACATGCAAGGGAGAGTCGCCTTTGTACACTGTCTTCGTCATCCACGGGGACATCGTGACCCAGGAGCAGCCGCACAGCATCCACATTCCCTGCTCCCGCGGCCCAGTGCAGGGCACTCCGGTCTGTCTGGAAGGGAAGGATAGAGAAGGAAGGCTCATGTATGCAGAGTGTGTGTGCGTGTATCCACCAGCCTTCCTGAAGGCCAAAATCTCCTTGGCCAACCATGGAGCCAGAATTTCTCACACTGTGCAGGGTCTTATTTGGACACAACCCTCTGTCTCTCTCCTCTCCTGTCAGGCAGGTGTTAGTCACCTTCCGCTCAGGAACTGCAGGTCTGGGCTATAACAACAGCACAGGAGTGAAGAACATTGCTGCCCATCAAGGGACAGACTGAAAGAGTAGGGATGTGTGTAATCCCAAGATATTGGTCAACAAGGAGAGACCTGCACCAGGGACTGAGTTTGTCCCAGAGCCTTGGCATGCAGAGATAGCAAAATCAAAGCCTTTCATACTGTGTGTATCTGGCACAGAGGTTACAAGGGGAACCATAAATGATCACCCTCCCTCAGCACCTGCAGCTTTCCAGTGTGGTCAGGATGATAGTGGGGGTCTCAGTGTGTTGAGGAACTGCTTGGTTGCCACAGGCTCTATTTAGCACAGGGTGGTGTATTTTAAAGCTTTGACCAATTAAGCAGTGAATGAGAAGAGGAGTGTTAAGGAGCTGCAGTTCTGAAACATGCCCTCAGTACTTCCTGCAGCTTAGAGGTGGAAAAACCCAGGACTTACATTGTTTTTGGCTTTGATGTCAACCCCTCTTCTGATGAGCTCCTCCATCCTGGCCGTGTCATTCCGCTTGGCTGCGTCATGGAACTCCTTCTCTGACTGAAGCACTGCAGCAGAGCAGAAGAGTGAGCATTAAAACAGAGCTGGCAAGGAGCACGGGGCAGCATGCCCCAACAAACCTCCTCTTCATCTCACTGGCCCCTGTGGCTTCAGGGAAGGGTGACTGCGGAAAGATTCTTCCAGCAAGAATCCCAGTCCTGCAGATGTTGGCATGTTTGCTGGATTTGTCCTCTCCCACCGTCTCTCCTTCCCTGAGTATCCCTGTGCCATATCAGTGCTCTTCCAATCCTACTCGCTTCTCTTCTAATTCAGTCTCTTTCTCTTCATGGATTTGCTCCAGCTGCAAAACCTTTTGGTCCGTGAGGTCCATGTCTTCTGGGCCATGTTCTCTGGGCACCTCTAAGGCCCAGAGCTGGTGTAAAGTCTCTGACACATCACTGTTTCCTCCATCCTTCCACCTACATCCCACCACTTGACAAGGAGGCCTTTACACATGGTCCTGCTGTCCCCCCTCCAGGCAACCTGAACCATCCAAGCAGCACAGAACTGCCAGCCTAGCCTGTGATTAGTGTTGCATCTCTTAATAAACCGTGGCAGTTCTGCATATAATTTACCACGACAGGCAGTATTTGTCCTGCACAGTTAGGCACAATTTAAGAGTGTTTACTCTCCATGCTGGGCCTTGCCACAGCAATCTTCTCCTTGATCGAACAAACCTTCCTGCCAAGAAACGAGAGTAAAGCTGTGACTCTGGGGCTGCCACAGCCCCACAGGGAGGCTCTGAAGGTTTTTGGCATGGCTAGTGTCAGTCGTTTTTGGAATCAGTCTCTGCCCTACTGCTTTTGGGAAATTCTTTCAAGAAGTGCTTGACTCATATCCTCAGCCTATAATATTCCACTGGAGAGCTGGCCCAGAGCTGGCCCAGAGGCTTTGCTTTCTCCTATGCTGCTGCAGAGCTCAGGCTGCAGTTTGAGCATCTCAATGCAACTTCAGGGGCTCAATGCAACTTCAGTTGGTTTCAACATATCAACTAGACACTAACCACATGCCATACAAGAGGCGTCAAAACATATTATTGTTCCCATTCCACCACACTGAGGAGATAAACAGGAGATTTGCTGCCTAAATAGCACTACCCCATTTTTCTCTTCAGAGGGCACAGAAGAAAGGCAACCCTACTGTGGACTCTTAGAGCAACAGAGGTATAATCTCATCCTCCAATTTCGATTCCCCTTACCTTCAAACAAAAAACTTTAGCTCAAGAAAACCACAAATAATACAACAGGATCATTCAATAGTGTGTTTATCCACTTAACACCAGACATGATCATCTGAGAGTGTGCATTCCACAGTGTTGAACCTGCTGCTACAATTAAGGCAGTAGGATTTGGACACTGATTTCTGCAGAAACAGGATTTCCTGTACTGTATATTAAGACTCTGTTATCATCTGGTCAGGGGTGTTAACAGGATTGCATTTCCACACCACATGGACCCTTGATTTGAGAGGAAATATCAGGAGAACTTGTGAAAAACACGTGGAGTTTTTGTTAATTATCAACACCCAGGGTGACCCACACACACCTCCTTGTAAATGCTACTCTTTCAGTGGACTAAATTCTATGTTTCAGCTAAGAAAATGCTGCTGCCCCTGCTCTCCAAGTGACAGAAATGTGCTGTTACATTTTATGGTCACACAAAGCATCATTGCCAAGAGATACCAAAGCACTCCTTGCCTTATTTATTCTCTCCTCTACCTGTAAAGATGAAGTAACAAACCCAGCATCACCAAGGCTGTAGCAGCCGCAATTTATTTTCAGCAACACATGGAAAACCATTTGGTGATCTGAGTTTCCTGTTTAGGATCCACACGACTCTGCTAGCTCTGTAAATGTAAATGCACTCCTCATCATGGCATAAACCCATCCAAGAGCAGCATTTCGGTGGATATTTAGCAGTTTTACTTCTCTTTCAAGCTCAGATTCCAGGGTGTTTTGTAGTTTGTGTTACTGAACATGAATTCAGTTATCCCAAACAGCGTGGAACACATTTTAAATTATTGACCCTCAGTCCAATGCACCAACTCATGGGCAATTTATTATGCAAGAGATGTAAAAAAGCATCAAAGGAGATGAAAGACACGCAGAGAAATGTGATAAAACCATCCACAGGGCTCTAGCTGGAGCTGCAGGACACAAAGACAACCCAGGATGGGGACCCGGGGATAAAGGGGGCCAGAACCCCCAAGTGGGGAGTACCGGAGTTGTATGCAGCATCTCAGGGGTACAGGATCCTTTGAAGCAAAACAACTCTTAATTCACGCGTAGGTTTATACACCTGCTTTGTTTCTGAGCGCATTTTCATGCATCTGGTTATTCCTTGGAGCATCGCCGCTCTGTCCCTGACCCCCCCGGCTCCCGCCCGGCCCCGCTACGCGAATCCCCCGCCACGGCCCAGGGCCCCCCACCTCGGCCCCACTCACGGGTGTCGCCCTCCGACGCCAAGTCGTCGCCCATGTCGCGACACAGCGGCCCCGCCGCGGCCGCCTCAGGGCGGGCTGACAGGCGCGTCCCCGCCGCCTCAGGGCGGTCTGACAGGCGCGTCCCCGCCTCCTCACAGGCCGCCCCGCCGCCGCAGAGCGCCTTTGTAGCTTCTCTTTAAAGCAAAATATCGTAAAATGAGCTCTCCTTCTGACAAACGCGGTGTTCTCGGGCCGTTTTGGCGTGATTTGAGGGGGTACATCGAGCTGCCGCCATTTCGGCCGGGTGCCGCCCCTCACCTCAGCGCGGCTCTGCTGGGTGCTGCTGCTTGGAGGTGGTGGGTGGTTTAATTTAAAATTAATCTAACTTTCTTTCCGAAGCTATTTAGGAGGAGAGGGATTTCTGTTCTGTGGGAAATACGGGGTGAGCTGTTGCTTTTTTTCCCCTGAAAGCAGGGGCAGGATGTGGTGTTCTCAGGGAATGAGGTGCTCTCATTACCACAGGTCCGACAGCAAGTGCAGGAGGGGGCAAAAGGGCTTTTCCCTCAGAGTTTTAGTGAATTCTCCATTTTCAGCATCTGTGCGTAGTTTTGTATTTTATTTTCTTCTCCATTTTGGTAGTATGATGAGGAAGGAACCAGGCTGAGCTGAGGCTGGGGCGAGAATCAGACCTGTTTCTGTGGGTCCCCCAGACTAATCCCCCCTGGAATACTGCATCTGGCTCTGGAGCTCCCCAACATAAGAAGGATGTGGGACTGATGGAGTGAAGTCAGAGGAGGCCACAGAGATGTTCCAAGGTCTGGAGCACCTCTGCTGTGGAGACAGGCTGAGAGAGTTGGCATTGTTCAGTCTGGAGAGGAGAAGGCTCCAGGGAGACATTATTGTAGACCTTCCACTACCTAAAGAGGCTCCAAGAGAGCTGGAGAGAGACTTGACACAGCCCTGGAGTGACAGGACAAGAGGGAATGGCTTCAAACTGACAGAGAGCGGCGTTAGATGAGATTTTGGGAAGGATTCTTCCCTGCGCGGGTGGGGAGGCCCTGGCACAGGTTGCCCAGAGAAGCTGTGGCTGCCCCTGGATCCCTGGAATCGTCCGAGGCTGGGTTGGTCGGGTCTTGGAGCAATTTGCCCATGGCAGTGGGGTGGAACGAGAAGAGCTTTAAGGTCCTTTCCAACCCAAACCAGTCTATGGTTCTTTGCTGGTGGTCTCAGGATAGGAGAGGTGACATCAGGTTTGTATTCCCTCCCTCTACCATGCTGGCCCACAGACCTGGTCCTTGTCGGGACTCCTTGGAGGAGTCTTCCAGCCCTCCCTCCTCTCTGTACCGCTGGTTTTGGCTGGGAGCACATGCTGATCCCGGTCACCACATGAGGGTGCCAGTGGTGTTCACCTGCCACGATTTGCTGCTCGAGCAGTGAACTCCAGGGTGCAGATGGGGCTGTTCCCTGGGCTAAGGCCAGTTTTGGGGGACACCTCTGTCCCGGGGATCCTTGTGAGGGTCTGTGATGTTCCTGCGAGAGAGCACGGGGCATTTGGTGCAGTGGGAGATGTGGGGAGGCAAGCAATGTCCTGGAGGGATGCAGAGATGAAGAGACCCTCTGCTGCTCCAGACACATCTCTCTGTAGGCACAGTTACACCAGAGCTGTCTGCAGCGTAGGGAGATAGTGTTTTCTGACTCACTAAGGCCCAGCACTGAGGGTCTTGGTAGCCAAAGTGCTTCAGCGATGCCGTGGGACCACAAGCCTGCCTGATTGTGAAATGGAGAGGTGGAACCTAAGCTCTTGAGCAAACACAGAATGTGTGGGGGTTTATGGGTAGCTCTCAGAGCTTTGGATTTATGTTTTGTTTGCCTTTTATTCAAATTGAATTAAAAAAAAAAAAGACCCTCTCTCTGGTAGGAAAAGTGAACATAAGGTCTGTCTGGATAAAGGGGAAGCCCTTCTTTTGTACAATAGCTCAGCGGGTAGGGCATCCTCCCCAAGGAAGGGGGAAAGCTGGGCTTGATCCTTGCTTCTGCCAGAGGGGAGATACAAACCCTGGGCCACACGAGACCCCAGAGAGCACCGTAAACAGCAGGCTGTGAGCATGTCTGGTGTGGAGAGTTTTCCTTGCTCTTTCCTGTTATTTTAAATAATTAATGATTTGATGGATCAGGGAGTGGAGAAGGCAGGTGTCCTGTCTCCCTGGAGAGCAGTCTGTGCACCCGGCGAGACGGAGCCTTGCTCTTTCTCAATGAATATTTAAGTGTCTTCAGACAAACTGGAACTGTGCCAGCAGGAATGGGCTGAGCCCTTCCCACTGGGTATCCTAGTGCCTGGGGGCTGGGGAAACAACCCTGAATAGGTCAGGGAATAAGAATAATCCCTGCTTGTACGGACTATGGAAGTACCAGGCATCCCAGCCTTAGGTGGGACCTCCGGCTCTTGCTAGTCTTTTGTTATGCTGTGAGGCATCCTTGGATGGAAAGCTGTCTGGATTTAACCTGCCAATGTTAATGTCATTGTCATTGCCTTCCAGAGCCTGAATCAGCCAGGACTGATCACCCACAGCTCTTCTGCTGCTTAATGCTGACCTTGGGAGAGAAGTAGTGCAGATGTACGGAAAGTTCGCATCTGTTTGTGAGCTTGGGTGTTTCCAGCAGGCAGAAAAAAGCAATGTAGGCAGTTCCTTCTGTCCTTCCCGAAGAGGTATGTGTTCAGGGGTGGAAGGGACCAAGCCTTTCTGCTGATACCAAGTACAGAATGCTGCGACAATTTATTAACGACACTGAACACTTGCCTGGCGATCCATTTATTAGCTAACAGACCTAAAAGAGCTTCTGGATTTTTCCACTAAGGCTGTAGCATAACGAATGACAGGGGGAGGTGGTAATTTGATCTCTTTTTACAATATATTCCAGACATTGACCCCATCTTCAGAATGGTGTTAAAGTCTTTGACTTTCTTTCACTTGAAGAATAATTTTAGGTGAGCCAGCTACATGCTCTTTCTCACTTAGAAGTGAAGCTCTCCAACAAAGCATTCTTTGCTCTAACCTTGCATGCACAATTTTTATGTACTGGTTTAGGATAATCAGTATTTTCAATCACATTCAAAAATCACCAGCCAGGCTGCTTAAATCCATGTCATTTTAAAATGTGCCTCTGTTAGCTCTCTGGTTTAGGTGTATACACCGTGATTTTAAAGTTGGTCAGATTTGCAGTTAGCCATGTAATGCAGCCCACAAACCAGTATGTGTTTATGCAGAAACAGTTGCTTACCTAAAGGTTTAGCAAATTGGACTTTAATTTATAATCTTCCTTTGGAAGCAAACCTGGAAGGTGACTCCTCCTACCTGCAGCTGCCTGTAGTTTGGGAAGCCAAGCCTCTGCTTTCCTGGAGCTGCCCACAGCAGGGGAGCCTGGCTGGGGAACAGCCTCCATCCCTGGAGGATTGTCTTTTCTGACATATGCTGCCACAGCCAGGGAATTGAATATTGCATGGGAGAGGGGATGACCACATTCCTCTTTCACTGCTGATGGTCTGTTTTTACATGGCAGGGTGTCAAACAGCCCAGTGTGCTGAGGTAGCAACCATGAGGTCTGCCTGGCAGCACCTAAACCAGGTCTTTGGGCTCTGTGGTACACAGATGCCATTGATGCCATGAGGAATTGTATGTTTGTGTTGCTTAATGTCCCTGCTGTGGCTATGAAAGGGACTAACCATACCAGTTCTGTGTTCTGGCTTGCAAACTGTGCTTTCAGATATGTCCCATTAGAATGGAATACACGTTACAGCTCTGGCTACATGGCTTCATGTGTGGCTCCAGTTTATTTATTTTTGTCTGTGCTAGGCTTTTAGTTGTTCTGTAGACTAGGTTATTTTTGGTGCTTTCTTTGATAACTCTGTTCCTGTGACATGCTGTGGAGCCAGAACTCCTCTGGGAACGTACCAGCAATGCACACAAACATCAGCCCTGTAGCTTCTAACTGTCAACATATGGAGCTTTCAGAAGGCCTGGATACCTAATGGGGCTCCACAAACCCACTCTGGAAGCTTGAGAAGCCATCCAGCACTTTCCTCAAAGGCTGCATTCATTTCCTTGCAAGGCTTCCACAGAGGAACAGCTTGTTAGAGGGACCTGTGGAGCTTGGAAGCTTTGCCAGTAATAATTCAGGCCCAGTTTTGAAGTCAAATATTTAGCTAAACAGAGACTGTCTGATGACTGGATTAAACACAGACTGCATCTGAGTGAGCTCAACACTTCAGGTTTTTGTCAGTGTCCATTTCACGAGCCTATAATTCCATTTTTCCTGTCTTCCCAGACTCTGCTCATCCTGTGTCATGTTTCAGACAGCACAGAATGAGGTATTTCAGCAGAGCTGTTGCTCCTAGCTCAGAAAGCAGCCTGAATCACAAAGTGATGTTCTCTGCTTTAGGCTTAGGAGTAATCCAGTATTATGGGATTGGGAGGAAATCACATTGGAGAAATTGAAGGGTTTGTTTGTTTGTTTGCAAGAAAAAGTCTGAAGGAAGTCAGAGTTGTCAGAGAGGGTTGGTGAGTGAGCCTTGCCCTGGGAGATTCTGCTGCATGGTGTTGACACAGTTAATTCAGTCCATGTAACTGGAGGTTTCAGCTGGTGATTTTGCACTTCCCTCTCCAGTCACTCTCGCTTCCCAAAGCCGATAGGCCTTTAAATCCCTTGAAAAGATAAATGGGCTTAAGCTTCTATGTAGCTTTGAAAGTGAAGCTTACACATAATTAGCACTGCGGCCGGGGTTGTTCCTGGTGATCAGGTCACTCCTGTTGATCCCTGACCTCCACACAGAGCTTACTGACACTATATCTTCCAACTTGGTATATCCTTCCAGCTGTGGAGAGCTGGGCTCACATCTATCCTGCAGGAATACGTGAGAAGCAAAAAAATACCTGCCCAGTACCATTTGTGCCTGAACGATATCTTAGAAAACACTGTAGGGGGGGAAATTTGTTATTTCTGTGATGCTTTGCTGAAGGAGGTCAAATTAGCCCATTGTGTTCAAACCCTCTCAATGCCTGAGTGCCAGGTTTGACCAATGGTTGGGAGATTACTGGTGTGACAACCTCTGTCTCATGGTGATGATCAGTTCACAGTGGTCATTCACTGTTTTGAACTGCTTCCTTTATTGGAATCGGGGAGGCTGGTCTTTCAAAGCTGGGAATACGCCCCCAGTATGCTCTTAAAAATCTACTATGTGACCAGAAGTAAACATATCAGGGAAAGATTTAAAGGGCAAAATATTCTTTCTTGAATTTAAGAAGAGAAGTGGTGAGATGGAGCTGGGGTCCTGGCCCTCCCTGGTTCAGATCTGATGGATAACTGAGCAAGTGTTTGGTTATGGGAGGTGGGAATGGCTGCCTTGTATAAACCAAGCAATAATCAGACACTGAATCCTAATCCCCTCGCTGACATGCCTGCAGGCAATGTTTTTATTCTCACTTTCCTGCATGTGTAAAAACAGGGAGGATCCTCTGCTTCCTGGGCCTCTGAGGACCGTCTGGCTCCTGAAGGCAGTCTCTTCCCTGCTCTTTACAGGACAAAAGTGCAGCTGAAATGTAGGATCTTACAACCATAAACCCGAAGTGCTGAAACCTACTGCCAGAGGCACAGCCCTGGGCTGCTCTTATGCCACAGCACAGGACTCGATGCAAAACTTGAAGCAAAACAGAAAATTGTGTTTGAGGATTTAATAAAAGCAAAGTGGAAGCAAAGGGTTGCTCAGCTGTGATGCTGTCACTCCTTTCTTCTCCGACCCCATGGAAAACCATGGAGTGCAACAGGAGCAGGCAAGCACACTGTTAGGAGGCAGCGGTGCAGCTTTGGAAGTGTTTCATTTCTCTCTCTCAGCAATTTTCTTCCAGAGCCCAAAACATCTGTCTCTGCCTCCAGCCACATACAAGTGCACCGAGAGCATTTTGTTCCAAGCCTAATGAGTAATTTTATGGTCTTGGAATTTGAGAGAAGGAGAGGGGGCTGGGACAGCAGACGGAGTCATGTGCTCTTGTAAGGAGTTCTGCTGATGTCGAATCACAGCCTGATGACTTTTGTTTTATTGCAGCCCACCAGGCTTCCCTTTAAAGTCCGCTGCTAGAGTTGCTGGTGATCAGTGCAGGAACAGCTCCAACACAGGCTGCTGCATTCCAGGGGCTTCCTCACTGCTGGGCACAACAAGCAACACGGAAAATAATGACATCAGTGGAGAGGAGATGGGGGAGCTCAGCTGGGCGTCAGCTCTGCTCTATGTGTGGAGGGAGCACACGTGAATGCAGAAAGCACTTTGCCTGTCCCGCCTCTGCCTTCAGTGCTCAGGAGGGATGAGAGAACAAACAACCCCAGGCAGATGTGTAATCACACCACTCGAGTGTCGAGCAGATGGTGCTGAAATGTGGGGATGCACGTGGTCTGAGAACAGGTATAGAATGAGCTGATTCCAATTGTCGCTGGTCTCGGCAGCATTTTAAAAGCACAACCCCAGCTTTCTCTTTGAGAAGGACAGTTATCTGTGGGGAGAGATAATCTGTACACAGCACAGGAAACAGAAGGCAGATGTTGTCATATGTTTATCATATGTTTCCACCACGGGGTCTTCCTTTGGGACAGGCTTGCAGATCCCAGGCCCCGAAGCAGGACTTGGCACAGCTCCGTGGACACACCATGCTGTGTTTATCAGGGGCAGAAGAATATACAGAGCTCTTCCTCCACCTGCCCAGGTTCTCCTGGTCTGAAGAGCAAGTTTATATTCACTCACTGTGACTCAGCTATAGAGTCTGACTCATTTTCTTGCTGTTACTCATAGAAAAGGAAAGCCAAATGGCAACCAGTCTGTGCCTGTAGCCACCTGTAATTCTCCAGCTTTCTGCTGTTAATCTTTGGATGAGTTTGTCGGCACTAACACACTTATCCAGCTGAAACTTTTAATACTTCTCTCTACAGAGTAAGACTGATTAGAAAATAAAGTTTTCTACCCCTAAAGCTAAGAGGAGGTGTGCTAAATCTCCATGGCTGCTTGTGGAGGTCCTCAAATGGGACTCTTACAAGTGGACACTTTGCAGGAGTGGCAATGGGCTGGGACCAGATGAAGCAACCACTAGGCAGAACTGGGAATGGCTGCAGAGTTTCTGCAGCTCCTGAGCTGACCTCTATGGTCTGAAGGAGGTTGCTGGTGGTCTGTCTCTTAAAGGTGCTCAGTACTAGGAGATCCTGCTTCCAGTGACATTGGCTTGTTGGTGACCAGAAATCTGTCTCACCCACTCTCTTCCCACTGGAATAGGACTTGAGCTGTTTGGGGTTCTCTGGGCTGCCAGTCCTCAGAGGAAGGGATAGTGTTTTACTTTGTGTAGGCCTTTGTTGCACTGCCAGCTCAGGAGTCTCTGCTCCCTTCAAACCTGGGTGTTGCTCACTTGAACATAGTTTGTCTGCTCATCAGGGTGCAGGGAAACACCAGGCCCTGGTTCCTTCTTTTGCAGCATGATGGATGGCTTACTCTGTGCTAGAGACCGCAGGAGCATGAGTCAGAGCTGAAAACCTCACCTAAGATCAGGATAGGGAGGCTTTAGCTGTGAGGTGGGAACCAGTGTCTGCCACCACAGCTGGGCCAAACCCAACCTTTCCCATTTCAGCCTCATTCCATGTCAAAACCACAGTGCAGCCCTTCCTGTACTGCACAGG